CCCTCTTCTGTCTTGCCCACCTCTTTGGAGATTTCTTGACAGCTAGGAGTAGCCATGTGACCAGCTCCAGCCAATGAGATGTGGGAGGATGTCTGCAGGGGGCTTTTGGAGAAGATTTTTCTTCCCTAGTGAAGGAAGCATGCAGAGAAAACGTCTGTGCTATGTTGCTCCCTGCTCCCTGCCTTCAAATGCAGTTGTATGAGGACGTGATGCATGGAGTTGCTATCATAGTAGCCAGCTTGTAATCAGGAGAGAAAGGCCAGGGGAATCAGAAATACTGACCCAGAGGACTGTCTTCTTTTCTGTGAAATATGAGACAAACCCATGTTACGTTAGCTGTCACTTCGGCCACCTGCCCCCATTGAAGTCATTCTTAACTGATACAGAAAATATGGAGTACAAAATTCTTGGTGGCCCCAATTCTTTGAGCTTTGCAGATCTATGACACTACATTTGGGAGCCATAGTCCAGGTGACAAAGGGTTAGTGTGGTGGTGAGGAAGTGGGGGTGGACCACACTTCTGAGAGGTTTGTGAATAGTAAAAAATAGGATGACATGGAATTGGCATGGGTATATGAAGATTTCTTCTATGCCACTGCTGCTATCTTGGCTCTGGCAGAAGACTGAGGAGGGACGTAGATCAGGTATTGAATTTCAATGTTCAAGTACATAGTAGGTATTCATCAAATGGTTACCACTATTACTATTCCACTCTTGGAGGTATTATAATCTTTGGGTAAACTTTAGATGTTTCAGAGGTATACTGACTGGTCTGCAGTCTCATCCCAACTGTCTGTCCCTTGGAGTCAGTAGAGTGTGATCAATGAACAGGACACTGGCTTTGGAGTCAGATTAAACCCACTTACTTTCTGTATCCACTTACAGCCCAATCCCTTGGGCTGAATTCCTCTGAGTCTCAGATTCCTCACCTGTAAATGGAGATAAGAGTACCTACCTCAGGGTTGGTATGAGAAATGGGATAATGGAAAGTGCTGGTAGATAGTAGGCACTGGGATACTGGAGAGCTCTGTGGTGGGCACTGCAGGTTGCCTTCCAAACATCACTTCCTCTCCCTTCTTTCTAACAGAACTCAACTTTGGTCCAGGCATCACCTCCTCCCAGATGAGGAAACCCAGGCTCAGTGAGCTTAAGTGGCATTTTTGAGGTCTCACAACCTAATAGATATCAGAGGCAGCAGGTCTTGAAACCAGGTCTTCTGACTCCCAGTTCATTGTTCTTTCTAATACCTCTCGTTTTTTGGAGGAATTAGCACATTTATCCAACACAACAAGATACCTGGCATGCCGAAGTTCTAAACTGTAGTCCGTTTTCCTCCAAAAGCAAGAGACAGAAGTCACATGGCTTTTATAACATAGACTCAAAAGTGACATACCATCTGTCAGTCTGTTGGTCATGCAGACCAACCCTGACAGAATGCGAAAGGGGACCACACAGGCTGTGAATTGTGGGAGGTGAGGATTGCGGAAGGCTTTTTTGGAAGCCGGCTACCACAAGCATCTTGACATTTTTATAAAAATAGTTTTGACTTTATAAATCTCCCCAGAGAGGTTGGGGACTCCCAGGGGTCCACAGACCATACTTTGAGCTCCACTGCTCTTGATACTATAAGCTCACACCATCTACATGAATTATCCTACTATTCTGCAGATGATTGTCAGATCTGCCTCTCTTCTGCAGACTCATCTGTTTGTCAGATCTCACTTTAAAAACAAGTTTTCCAGAGAGACTCTTAATGTACCCAGCATTTTGCCTCTGCTGATGCCAGGGCAAGGGTGCTGGAAGAGTGGAGTAGTTGTCTTCCAGGGCAGAATTCATAAACTAAAGAGTCACATGGTCATTTGTAGTATTTCGAGGCCTTTCGCATCTATGGGCTCATCTTAAATTGTTTTGAATATTTTCAATCTGAACCACCTTGGCTAATCTATTCTACACATTACCTGTACCAAGTAGGAACTTTTTTCCTTTGTACTAAAAGGCCCCAGCTGAGTGTCCCAAGACAAGCTTGATTTCTACATGCTAAGACTTGGCAAATACACCCATGTACAACTCATCCAAACACTCATGACTTTGAGACACTAATCTTTGTTTCTTTTCAGTAGATTCCTAATATTTTTAGTGTATGATACAGCTGTGCCACGCCCTCCTGGTCACAGCCCCCTCCTCTGGTTGGACATCCTCTTCCACCGTGTTCTTCTCAAGACCTTGGGTAGCAGAGCTTTGGCACATAGCCTGCACTCAGCTACACTGAGGTTTGTCCTGAGACAGGGCAATAGTGTTCCATGTTTCGAAGTTTGTCACAATAATACTCAAAGTCCAGCTTGCACAGTGGACCATTGAGTTATCGATCCAGCTGCCTTCTTCCCTGCTTCCAGCAGTGCTCCTCTCCCCTGGCCATTTCTTCTCCTCTATTCCATGATGCTCTGGTAGGGCTGCCAATCACATTCCACCCCTTCCAGACAAAATGGTTAGTCCAAGGAAGTGTAAATATTTAAGCTGGGCCTGCCAGGGTCTGGAATTGTCTTCAGGAAAGCTAAACAGGAAGACCCTTTTGCCTAGTCTGGATTTAGAGAACTGGAATGAGGCCGGAGCTGCTTGCAGCCATGTTTCCTATTGCTGCATTCAGTAAGCAAAAATATAGCCAAACAAGACCAACCACACCAAGAATAAGACAGAAAGTTTGAGTCTCTGGATTCACTCCTGCCTGAGGCTAGTTCCAACTCCTTTTTCCCCAGTGATATGACTCAAGAATGGTCAGTAGTGTTAGGTTTCTACCACTTATTATTGAAAGGAACCCTCATAAAACTGACCCTTTGGCCTCAAATTATACTGTGCGAGATCTGTTTCCTGAAGGAGCATGTTTTGAGAAAATAACAGAGGGCTAAGAATTCAGTGAAGACAGAAAGAGGACTGAGAAGACAGAAGGCTGGCCAGAGAAAAGGCAGGTGAACCAAGGAACAGCATTTCATAGAAGCAGATAATGGACTAGTTTTAATTGGTGGTGGGAAAACAGATGTTTCCATGGTCTTGGCGGGGTTATAAATTGGCTTTTTTTTGGAAGGCAGTATCTGAAGATATGAAAGATTCCTGCTGAGCCAATAATTGTACTAAACACAGCATGGTTTGTTCTGATGCAATATTTCAAATATTTGCATCATCAATAGGGGGTTGGTTAAGTAAATTATGGAAACATGTCCTGGTAATACTAAAGGGGAAAAAAGTGTACAAGACTATGCAAAGCATGTGTTTATAGATGTATTTCATATGTGCAAAGAAAGCTCAGAGGACCACACATTGGATAGTTGGCACTGGAGATCTCTGGGGGGATGACTGTAATTACAGAGAACTTGACTTTCTAGGTATGGATGAGCCCAGAATTGGAGAGGTTGATTTCTGTTCTATTTCTGCTGCTGTAAGAAAATGGCAAGGTCATCTTTCCCTTTTTTTTCACTGTCAGTATTTGGAGTTCTATGATCTCTGGCCTCATGTGTTCATTCGTTTACTTATCACATACTTTTATTCACTCATTTATTTGACCAATAAAGGACTAAGTGAGTGCCAACCATGTTAGAAACTCTTGCTTATGGGAATATAATAGCAAAAAAGAATCATCACTCTCATGGATTTTTTATGACTGTGAAAAGTATCAAATGGCGATGAGCGTTACGGAGAAGCACAGAGGAAGCAGCATAGAATGCTGGCGTGGAAATAGCAGGGTCCATTATGTATAGAGTTGTTAGAGAAACCCTCATGGAAAAGGCAACATAAAGACTTAAAGGAAGAGGAAGACAGCCATGCAGCCCTGAGGGAAATTGTCTTCCAGGGGGATGGCATATAAGACCCTAAAGCTGAAGCACGCTGGATGAGTTTGAGGTCACCAGGACTGTGTGGCTGGAAAGAACAGTGAGGAGCAAAGCCAAGGGAAGGGACAGGGGCAGGGCAGTGTGCCCACGGATTCGAGGTCATTGCACCACTCTGAATGAGCGAAGAAGCCACTAGAGGGTTTTGGACCAACTTTAAAGTGAATGCTGTGGTTGTTCTGTTAAGACTAAAATAGAAGGGCCATGAGTGAAAGCAGGTGACCAGTTAGAAAGTGACTGCAATGATCCAGGTGAGGGAAAATGGTGTGGACTCTGGCGGTAGAAGGGGTTGGGTTGCAAATAAATTCTGAAGGTACAGCTAATGGATTTGTTGGACAAGAAGGAGGGCGTGAGAGAAATTACTCCCTGTGACTTAGGGCCCAGTATTGGGGCTGTCAGACCTCTGGAAGACAACCCTTCTCCCAGGACTGAGGCTGATTCCACTGAGTCACTTCGAAGAGGTGGCAGTGCCAGCTGGTGCTTTGAGTTGAAGGAGGTGGAGAAGGACAGAACCAGGGGAGAGAGGGGAGAGGTTTTGGGTGTTCTGTCATGAGACAGACCCAGGCCCCAAGTGCAGCAGGCCTCACCCCAAATGGTGACGGGGGTGATCCTATCCATGGGATGCCAGGGGAGGCTGGATGACTAGTGCCATGGCCTTGACACATTTGGTTCGGGAGGAAAAACAAAAGACAGATTGCATTTCCGTCCACCATAGTAAGAGAAGACTCATAGCCAGACTTACTCTCATTTAGAAAAACTAAGTGCAGTGTCATTTCCTGTACCCATGTCTTCTGCGGCAAGTCAAGACCCATTATATTTCATAATACTTTGCTTTTAAAGACATGTGCATTATTTTTGTAATTAGAGCAAATAAAAAATATATTAAAAAAATGGTGAAATGGTCAATAATAATCAACTAATTCAGAGAGGGTCATGGAGTTAGCTTATTGAGAAAAGAATAAGGTAAGAAGTGGTTCTCTTCAAGGAGTGGGATGAAGGTCAGATGGTGAGTGATCAAGAACGGAAAAGGAGAGAGAGTCTGAGAAATCGAAGCAGTGAATATAAGCCTCCTTCGAGAGGCTTGGCAAAGGAAGGAAAGAATGAACGGTAAGAACAAACGTATGCCACACAATTCTGAATAAAGTTTATTAAATAATATGTACAGCAAATGTAGCAATTCAACACCTCTATTTATCAACTCAATCCACTGCAATAAAGAAAAATAAATGAACAGAAAAACCTGTGTCTGCATAGTACATGCCCTTGGTGTGTAATTTAAATGGCAATACTTTAAATTAATTGGTTATATATAAGGTCAGTTATTTTTCTTTCAGAATATAATCTTTTTTTGCAGTAACCTATTCTAGCAATAGGACTTAATACTACTTCAGATAAATAGAACTGCCAAAAAAAAAAAAGTCTCCAAAAACCTGTAACTGAGATAACAGTTACCTTCTCTCCCAGAAAGAATGATTATTTAAAAATTTAACACTTTACAATGGCTATATTTGTGCTAAAAATCTGCCGGTGAGTTATTTGGAATTCCTTCATTTAAATAAAAATGCAAAAAACTTCATGACTTCCTTATTTCCCTCCCCACTTCAGTTCAAATTTTTAAAATTATTTTTCTATACAAAGTAGGTACATGGGCTATACAAAGTTAATATACATATTTACAGTCCCACTTAAGCATATGATTTTTTTCTTTTACTGATCCCAGAGAGACTGCAAGAGAGAAGTAGTTTGTGGCTTGCCTTTACCCAGAAGCATGGCTAATATATCAAAACGGGTAGCAAGGCATGCCGCCAGTTAGTTGCACTTGCTATTAATAAACCTGTATAAACATCTCAGCATAAAAATAGGTATTTTATATTACTAAATGTCTGAAGACAAAAGAGCCATTGGAAACCTTTGTTCCTTGTTCTGTCATACATAGGAAGCTGAAGTTTGATGCAAGTTTTAACATGATTTTATTAACGATGGGCAAATTGGTGAGGCATACCTGGGTTTCTGGAGATAGACAATTGCATGAGGTTGGCATCATATGCAAATGTGGCTTTACAAATTGGTTTTATTTTCTAGCTGTATTTAAAGAGGTGTTCAAAATTACCTATTTAATCAAGAAGCACCCCTCTGAAAACTATTAGATAAGATCATGTTATTAATGGTTTGCATCTAAGACCAGGGAACAAACATATTAGCCAATACAAGAATTACATTTCCAAACGAGTGAAATGCTGCTGTGCAAATGCTCTTGTACTATATTCCCTCAGAGAGTGAGTAAAAAAAAAAACCCCAAACAAACAAACAAAAAAACAGTGCCCTTGGACAGTGGAGTGGACCTTCCAAAGCAATGAGTCTTATTTAAGGAACTTCTACCCAGAAAGCTCCTCCCCACCACCTGCACCTCCACCCCCACCATTAGTTCCACAGCCTTTTCCCTTGGGATTAAGGCTCTGCTCTGACCTAGTCAAAAACAAAGGTTTCTGGGAAGAGGTAACACATTCCTTGCATCAGTCATTTACACTTTAGTGTGAAGGAGCCAGTGGCAGTTTCTGTCCTGTGAACAGGTTTGAGAACAGGACAGGGAGAGACGTGAGGGTACCGAGGCTGTCTCATGGAGGTGTGGGCAGCTGATGGGATCCCAAGATGAGTCGTGGAGACAGAAGCTGAGGCAGAGGCACTGAAGACAAACTTCACCTGCTTATGAAGACTCCAGACTTTGGGACAACAGCTCTGGGGCAATTCTGAGCTATAAGCAGAGAGCCAGGGTCCCTGTACACACACTGCCACCTAGAATTACTACTCCTATTTGTGACCTTGGGTGTGTATTTGTGGGGAAGTTGAGAATTTGAAGTCTCTGGAAACAGTTCCAAATATTTTCAGTCATAAAGGGCCCTCGAGCAAAGGTTCTTCCAGCTTCCTATTGCTCAAAAGGGAGCTAGTGGAGACGGAAACATGACAATGCTTTCTAGGATCCCTCCAGGGAGAATTCCTCTCTTCCTCTCTCACACCCTTCTTAGCACATAGCACAGTCACTCTTGATTTAGTATTTTTTTGTGAGTCTGTCTCCCTAGTCACCTCTGAGTTCCCGGGAGGTAGGGAATGGGTCATGTCTACCTTTCTCTCTCCAAGGGGCCTAACAGTGAGGCCAATAAACATCCTGGGATTGGACAGAGCTCTGCCTGAACATCGCAGGAGTCACCAGGGCCCCTTGGATCTGGCCCTACAAAGGACAGACCACTAGGGAGGGGCAGAGTCCTTGCCTCACACCTAAGGCCACTGCAACTGCACCTTTTGCTCTGAAGAGAAGCCTCACCAAGGTGCATCAGGATTCATAACCCTGGGTGCTACATTTTGGGTGGCCCTTGAACTCCTATGGGGAGTAAAAATGGAGACACAGTGGGTCTCTTCTAAGGCTTGGAGCATGCCATCAGTGGCCCTGGCATCCAGTGTACATCATCAGTATATGTTAAATGAATCATTGAACATCGTATTTGGTTCTCTCTGACCACAGGCCTATCAACCCCAAACTGTCCTGGCCAAAAAAAATAACAAAGAAGAAAATCCAGAAAAGAAAGGTTAGCAGTCGTGTTCTAATAAATGAAACTGTGCTGCTCTGAAGGTAAACATTTATGAAAGCCAGTGATATGGGAAAGGAGCACACTACATGTGTCCTCAAGAGCTACAGGGCTTCTTGACTTCAATCACTCAGACATACAAATTTAACTATCTGCCTGGCCCCCTGGTTCCCATGGGCAAACCGTGTGTTTTTCTTTCTGAACACCAGGGGCACCGACGGCAGTGCCGCATGCCGCCTGAATACACAGGGCGCCGAGGTTTTGCCTCAACTTCCCCACAAACCTCAGCAGGTCCAGGGAGGGACGCGGTCCTGGGAAGTTTGGGGGGGCCTCCACCACTGTTTGGGGTAGTCTCTACAGCCCAGACTCATCTCCAACAGTGTAGGGGGCCCAGTGGGCTCTGGGGTGGCTCGGAGTCTGTGTGTGGAGCCTTTGGGGCATGGCTGGGGACCTGCCTGGCCCTCTGAGGGCTGCTTCAGGCTAAATGCTGAGACCTCTCTGAGCTGGAGCTAGTCAAGGCAGCAGCGGCAGGCGGCATTTCTGGCCTAACTGCTCCTGGACTGTGCTGCAGGTCAGATTACCTAAGATGGGGAGAGGTGGGGAGGGCTGGAGCGGCTCCCAGAAGCAGCTAAGTAAATACAGATTTGCCTCATTCCTTTCTGCTCAGAGCATGGTTCAGGCTTGTCTGATACACAGTAAGCTTAGACAGGCTCCGGTTTTAAACACAACACACTTCTCTGTCCCTTTCTTTTGCTTCTTACTTTATCCACTGCATTAGTTTTCCTACTGACTCAATGTTTAAATAAAGAGACCGGTTCATGAATTATGCTTCATCCACCAATAAAAATCACCTCTGTGGTTTTCAGTCTTCTTAGAGATACAAAGGCTTTACATAGTTGCCTGGAAAAGTACCAAACTGCCTTGTTCTTCTTGAAGTACCTATAAAAAAAAAACACACGTGCACACAATGAGAAGGATCACCAATGGGAGTTCAAGGAGAGCCCTTGGTAACAATCCTGTAGAATAGCTATGGTTTCCAAAGCACTTTCCCTTATTTTAACTCATTTAGGCTGCGAAGTAATGCTGGGTAGTAATTTTTTTTTTTACCATTTTTTAATACTCCTGGTTTTTTGTTGTTGTTGTTGTTGTTTTTTGTTTTGTTTTCAGAGAGGAAACCTAAGCTCAGAGAGCTTGCGTGATGTTGCTGAGGTCCCATAGCTTAATAAGCGGAAACAGACTTTGAACCCATCTCTTCTGACTCCTAGCCCGCTGCTCTTTCTAATACTTCTCCTTTTTGGAAGAATGTGCACATTCATTCATCACAACAAGATACCGGGGATTTAGAATTTCTAAACTGTTGGATTTCTAAAACTCCACTGGATATGACCACATATCAAAAGGAAATTCCTCTCAAAAGCCTAGCAAAGCCCCAAATTGACTCCCTGTCTTTACTACCAGCCTTATTAGGGTTCCCTTTAAGCCAAGAACATTAAGCTATCTGGGAACAAAGCCCTTCCTGGGCTGCTCTGCAGCCAGAACTGCTGGACCCCTAATCCACTTCCTTCCCTTGGGACTCTCTCTCTAAAGCTGGCAGGGTGTGTGTGTGTGTGTGTGTGATGCTGTGTCATCATTGCCCCCTCATTAGCAGACATCACAATTTGATCATTGCATCCTTTTCCCATTTGGCTTGGATATGGTTTCAGAATCCTGCTAAATACATTTCAAGCAGCCACTACCAGTGGGTTAGGGCTGTTGCCCAAAGTGAAACTTCCAAGCCAAAAGAACATGTCAAAGCTAAAGACATCTAAATCGACTAGCTGAACCCCGAGGGAGGATGGTCACTGGAGGTCGCAGAGAACTGAGATGATAAGGCCCAGCTATGTGCCCAGATAGCTGGTTAGCACTTTCCCTATGGACAAGAACAATGAGCTCTGTTGGGTTACTTCATTTTTAGTTTGAATATCAGGCTACTTTTTGAAGTGTTAGAGGAATTGAGGAAATCTGAAATACTTCCTTTATCTGGCTGCTGGGGATGCCCCATTACAGAATTGGTGCCCTTCACCCACCCCAGTTCTCGTAAAAAATGTAAATGCTTCTGGAAGAGGTTAACAGCGAATGAACACTAGAGCTGCACTCTACTATGACAGCCACACTTGTCTGCTGAGCACTTAAAACATGGCTATTCTGAATTGAACTACGCTGTAACTAAACATCGGATTTCCAAGACTTTGTACAAAAAGAATAATGCAAAATATCTCACCATTTTTTATACTGATTACATGTTCAATTGATATTTTGAATGCATTAGGTTTAATAAAGTATGTTAAAATTAATTGCACTAGTTTTGTTTTACTTTTTTCAATATAGCTTCCAGGAAACCTAAATTTCATAATGGTTTGTATTACGTTTCTATTGGACTGCACTGCCGACTTCTCAGATTTGGTTTCCTTCTAAACGGAACAACTCAGGGTAGTGAGGGCTGTAGGCTTCTGGGGTCCTTGGGAGGATGGGTTAGCTTTCTAAGAGGCTGGTAAGGCTAAGACAAATCTATCTAGCTTCCCTTTTACGCTGAGGCCTTGCTGATCTCACTATCCCAGCCCTGACATTACTTCGCTTTAGCAAAGGTTTCCCAGAAAGATCAGGAAAGTGCTGGTCTTTGGAGGGAAGATAAAGGTAAAGCCATTTGTACAAGGGGAAAACAGGAGAAGAGTGAGTCAGTGGCTCCCATCTGACCCACATCATATTCATGCCTGAGCAGAAAGAACACAGGCTTGGGGAGAGATGGGCTTGAGCTGAAATGCTACCTGGGTGACGCTTGACTAACTACTTAATCTCTTTGGGCCTCAGTTTTTGAACCTGTGAAATGAGGATAATTCTTGTCATATGGGCTGTTTGTTGAGAAAATGTCAGTACAAAAGAATATCAAGCAAGTGTCTGCTTGGTAGCAGAATCTCAATAATGTTGACCTTTCTCTCCCTCACTTTATAAAGATGAATCCTTTGTTTTAATTAAGCAGGTTGCTTTGATTAAAGTTATTAGAAGCCTGGAGTAAATAAGGTCTTTAATATATCTACACACATGCTTGAGTTTCATGGTAGAGATCTAGGCTTGGTCCAATTTTCTTGTGTTGTTTCATAAGAGTTTTAAAGAATAAAATTTCCAAATGTAGAACAGATACATGCACAATAGAAGTACAAATGAATGAGTTAATGAATTTGATAATTGCCCTCCCAAGTAGTTGACGTTGGCACATTTGGTCAAGACTGGTGTCACCCACCATCTTGAGAGCAAACATAAACTGGGTGGCCCATCATTCCTAACGGTGGTGCAGGAACCGAGAAGGCTCTTTTTTCTGTGCGGAGGATACCGCTTTTGGCACGGCTCATCACTCCTAGTTATTCCTCAATACACAACTAGTAAGAAGAGCATGATGAGATCACTTACCAACAAACCATCCATCATCACATTTTTCCATGACATCAACAATATCTCCATCTCGGAGTTCCAATTCATCATCGTTCTGTGGTATATAGCTATACAATGCTTGGTAGCTAAATCTATAAATGAGAAAAATAAACATTAAGTAACTCAAACACTGACAGGGTTAAATAACAAAAATGTTAAGCCCATTTCAGTTGAAGCAACATTTAGTAGTTTTCTGCTCATCAGTGGGGACACAAGTATTTTATTGGCTATTTTTCTAATAACTTAGCATTTGGGGAAATTCACTCCACATACAGTAAGTAAATGAAGACTGACAGGGATGGGGAGCTTCTGACAAGCAAGTCATGACTGGTCCTCTTGTGTAGTTTCATTTGGTTACCATAGCCAAGCATTCTCTTCAGATTCCCCCACATACCAAATTTAACCAAGGCCTTTTCTTAACATAGGATAATATATGTAGATTATCAAGGATAATGAGAAGTTACTTAGGTGCAGATAGACATTATATTCTGGTCATATACATTAGAGAGTATAAGGCAATTGATGTGTGTGTATATATATATATATATATATATATATATACACACACACACACACATATATATATATATATACTGGGAGGAGGGTCTAAAAATGTATATACATAACTTGTATTCATTTTTTGTTACCGGAATATATTGAGTATTACAATTTTAATAGATTTTTCCTTTCTTAAAATGTGTATACTTTTTTTGGCACCCTCTGTGTGTATGTGTGTGTATGTCATATTTATATAAAACTATAAAAGGTACATTTCAAGTGCCTCACTGTTTAGCAAAACGACCTTGAGTTTCTTAATAGGCTGACAACCATTTCATTAATTGCTTTTAAATGTGAATGTCATTTTTCTGAAACTCTTGAAAGCTTTTTCCTTTTTTTTTTCTAGCCCAGTGATGTTTGGGGTTAAGGTTTTTATTGACTTGGTAGCTGGCCTAAGGCAATTTGGTGTGTGCTGTTCTGCTTGTTCTAACATCGGCCAGCTGCAAGAGAAAGCTGGACTACTTGTGGTGAAATCTGATAATCTGCTCTGGCAATAAGGAAGAGCTTTGTTTTCACTTACTCCTTTGACAAATACTTAAGAAGCATCTTACTATGCATCAGTTCACAATTCTGTCTGCTCAGTACTTGAAACACAACAGTAGCAGGCAACACTTTGCAAACGAGCCAATCATCTACCACTTCCGGTAGATCAGTGATTTTCCAGTGTGTAGGCAAGAGGCTAGTTACAAGTAAGTGGCGTCAGTTCCCAGAGACAAGAGGTTCATTCTCTTCCAAAAACCAAAGGAACAATGTAATTTTATATAGTGTTTATCCCAAAGTATTGATATTTTGGTAGATGGATCTGTCTGCCAGAGGAAGGAGGGATTAAGAGATGCAGATGGATTACCAGTCGGAAAATGAACACATTTTGATGTTCCGACTTTGCTCGCTGTCTCCTACCCAACCTGGACTCCTTCGAACGCCTTACGCCCTTCACTTCCACTGTGGATGCTTTGCCAGCCTCAGCTCTGGGAAATAATTCCTGGTTTCTGCTTCTCTGTTCTCACTCCCAGATAGTGGATACTGGCTGGACAAAGTCCAGTAACTTTGTTGCTCAGGACAATATTCCACTGAGTCCTTTCCCTACCTCCTCTGTCAGTTCTGGTGCTGGACTCTCAGCAGAGGGCTCTCTACTCTGCCCCTATCTCCTGAGACGAAGCTTGCTGTGGGCAGCATTTTAATTTTCCTCCCCTCCAGGTTTAAGTCTCTATATTTCCTCCCCTCTTACCCAATGCTGTTCCCTTGGGTGAGGAAGGGTCCCTTCTCCTGGCCATGTTGAACTCCCTTCCCCTTATTTCCTTAACTTATGTCTTCTCTCTTACATCTTTTGACTCTGTCAGCTCCTTCTCTGGTACAAAGGTGCTTAATTCTCTACCCCCTAAAAATACCTCCTCTGTCTCTGCTATTCCCTTGATCTATAGCCCCCTCCCATGCCTTCCACTCACCATCAAACTGACTCACCAACCCTTTCTCACATAGCCTCTGCTTCCACCTCTCTAACACTGCTATCTCCAAGGTCGCCAATGATTTTTTCAGTTGCCAAATAGAGCACCTGGAGGACATTTCACATTTTTTAACCCCTTGGCCTCTCTGAAGCAGGAGGCACCACAGATCAAACACTGCTTGCTCTGTTCTGCGCAAGTGAACGCTCCTAGGCCCTCTCCTATATCTCTTCTCAGTCTCCTTTGCTGTTACTCCTCTGTTGCCTTAAAAGTTGGCTCTCCAGGGATCTACCCTCATTTCCCTTCTCGCTTTACCCAGAATCTCCTTGGGTAATCCTATATGCTTCCATGGTCACAAAGCACTCCCTCTGTCCTAGCTCAGGCTCTCATCAATTCTTTGTTGAACAATAGCTTTGTCCCTAATCTCTGAAATCCACCTTCTACTCCATTGCCAGTTATCTCCCAGAAACAAAATATAATCAATATGATCCTCATTTCAAAATCCTCTAGTGGCTCCTGAGTGCCTGCAGAATAAAATCCAAACTTATTTCCATTGCATTATGGATTCTACAATCTGGTCCCAACCTACTTCTTGAGCTTCATCTCTGTTTCCTCCTGAACTGTATCCTGTGGCCACATGGCATTTTTGAAGTTGTCCAAACACTCCACCTACCTCAGGCCTTTGCACATGTGGTTTCCTCAGCTGTTCTAGCTCTCAAATCCAACTCATCTTTCCATGCTCATTCCCAATGCTCTTCCTCTGTAAATGGAGTTTACTTCTATGTGCTTAGAACATAGGAGATAGCCAATATATATATATATATATATATTTTTTTTTTAAATGAATGGATCAACCCTATTCACTCAGCTCCAATCAGAATTAACCATTTTTAAAAAAATTTATTAGGGAACAGTGTGTTTTTCCAGGATCATCAGCTCCAAGTCAAGTAGTTGTTTCAATCTAGTTGTGGAGGGCACAACTCAGTGGCCCATGAGGGGACTGAACCGGTAACCTTGGTGTTATGAGCACTGCGATCTAACCAAGTGAGCGAACCGGCCACCCCCAGAGTTGACCATTCTTTCCTCTATATTCCCACAACACGAGGACTGAAACTAGTCAGCACAGCTCTCACTTGCCCTTGTATGGCAGTTCATTCTTTACTTGTCTCTGTCTCCCAGTAGTCCATGATCTCCTTTATTTATCCAGCTATTTTCATGATGGCTGATGGGAAACATGGAATCCTCAGAGAAGCTGGGAGTGATTCATTCATTCCCCCACATGGCTGCCCCCATAGTCAGTCAATGACCTACTTTCTAAGCTCAACGACTATCTACTAAAAATACTTTCTAAGCTCAACGACTGTCTACTAAAAATGTGAGAACTGAAGTTTGCCAAGTGTACTTACAAATCTTGTGAGGCTTGACTCCTATCTGGGGTGACTCTTCGCTGCTGGGCTTGAGGTTGCTGAGAAATGATTAAAGATGATTTATTGTCAGAAGGGGATACCTTGTGATGAAAGTCAAAGGGATGAGAAACAGTGCTGCAGTAATGAACAGATTTTTCGGCAATGTTTATGATCTCATTGCAAACTGCTTCCTGTGAGGTGGGCCCGAGATATCCAGAAACCCCCAAAAAACAGTCAACATGGGGACAAAAAAAAAAAAAAAAAGAAAGAGAGGAAGAGATGTAACATTCCAGACGAAGCACAAAAGTCCAGGGAAACAACAGAGTTGAAGATCCAGGTTAAAAAAATAGATATTCCAGTAGTGGAGTGCAGGAGAGATCCAGGCGTAAGCATGGAAAAACAGGTAAGATACAGAAGAATTTGGAATTTAGTATAAATATTAAAAAAAAAAAGGCAGCAGCATAAAAGCCTGTAATTAGTGAGTAACTGTTACAAACGGAATCATTTCAGGATAGAAATGCAAGTACATATCCCCAATCATGCACTAATATATTAATTTAATCCCACATGTAGGCAGAGTAGAAATATCATCTCTAAATTTCTCTGCTTTTTTGAGAAGGAAAGGGGTGGCCTAACATCTCTCTCTCTACTACAATAGCCGCATAATTCTTGTAAATAATGGCTCTGTGAGTTAGCCAGGTATTACTTCAGTCTAGACTCTAGCAGTCAGTAAGAATTCTCTTTAGAAAAGCTACAGTCTTATTCAACAGGCATCTTACCACATAGCTCTTTTCAGATTCTGTGAGATCAGGTCCTGCTCTCAATGAATGATGAGAAGGCTGTGATCACCAAGCAAATTATAAGGGAGACATTTTAGCAGATGTCACATTGGAAAGAATTCAAAATAAAAGCGTGAGCAAATACACGTACCACACCATCACACTCGATGACACTGGATACTCGCGGCCTACGGCCACCGAGTTTCCACGACAACATGGTGGGTGCACAGGAGAAAATGCAATGTACAGAGTTAGAAGCAAGCATCCAGGCAATGAAATGGGAAGTTGGAAACATGGCTGCAGTGAGGTGAGAATGAATAACACAGGGCCCCCAGATTGGCAGGAAAGAGACACAGAAGGGCTGTCTGAAGGAATAGCTATATCCCTCTATAACCATATACACCGGTCCCCTCGCTCTCAGCTGGCAAGCATCTACGGATGGGCTGTTGGGCCAAAAGCCAGTTTCAGTTATCTTGTTGACTGGGAGCCTCCTCTGGCAAAGCAAGCTCATAAAACGGTCAGGTATGCCATATTCTGGTACTCATAAAAACTGAAAAAGAGAGTAACGAGCTTTGAAAAGCTCCTTGGTAATATTTGAAGTATCCAGTAAGACTATTCCCCTGGAAAAATATGCACATGAAACACTTTAGCTAGGTATGAGATGAGTTCAGATATTTCATAGAGCAGAGCCTGCTTCCAGAAATAGGACTGTGTGTCCTGACATAGAAATGAAACCATCACTTATCACTCACCAGCTCAGGTACCACATGCTGACATGGAAACCCAGGTGCCACCACGGCCAAGCAAACCCATCTTTTAAGTGGGTCTGCCATAGTAGAGAGGCCAGGCCTTCGATGGAAACCAGGCCTCCTTGTTTGGAATCATTTCCCTCAGAGAGAATTCAATCCCAAGCTCTAGGAAATCTCCCTAAATAAATACTTAAAGAGCCACTCTTTTTCTTAATGAGAAATCCTCCAGGTAACCTGCTGTAATAGCAATGAACCAGAGCAACTTCAAGGCCTTCTAGAAGGGCACTCAGAGATCTTCTGAGTATGACTCACTGATTTCACAGAGAGGCCCAGAGAGGGTGAGAGCCTCCTCTGAAGTTACACAGCCAGTTAGTGGTAGAATTGTCTCCTGGATTCATCTACTATCCCACTGGACCTTCTCTTTCATCCCTGGACCATTTCCCATATTATCAAGTGTGCTCCCTGACATTATCTTCACTGAGTCCCACAAAAACCCTGGAGACAGGCAGGACAGGGTTGATCAATCCTGTTTTCTTTTAAAACCCGGAAAGCTGATGCTCAGAGGGGTTTCGTGCATTCGCCAATGTCACTCACACAGCTAGGGAGAGGTAAAACTGCTAGGTGCCCTTTCCGCTCTATCACACTGCCCCCTTCTCCTGTTCATCGCCACTGTAAATGATCTCATCCTTTAGCGTGCCCTGCAGGACCCACGTCCATCCCAGATATCACTTCTACACTTGTGTCCTTTTGGGAAACCTCTTCAAGTTCTCCAAACCCCTTCCAAACTGCAATCACGTGAACCAGTCCCCTTGGACTCTGGCAGGAGTGAAGGAACAGACAGAACGGGAAGAGGGTGTTTCGTGCTTTTTCTACAACGTCTGAGGACGTGCAGGCCTTGGTCAGGTGACCAGGAGCAGACCTGTGTGGCCCCACTTGCCACCTATCCAGCCTCTGGATCAAGGCTTCTGTGAAACGAAGAACAGTAATAACATTTCCAAACACCCACACTGTGGGCTTTCATGTGGCAGATGAATGAAACTTATGCTGGGCAGCCTGAGTGGGTGATGCTGCTAGGCAGATTTTTTTTTTTTTAGCTGAGCCATCCTGCCACCTGTTGGCAGCTCAGCGGCAGCTCAGCTCGGGCAGGGACTCAAACTGTTGTTGCTCAGAGCTCGCACTCTTGAGCGAGCTCTTAACCAACTGAGCCACTCGGCCGGCCCCACCACCAGGCAGATTTTGACTTGACAGGAGGGAAAAGTTTCTAAAAGTAACAATAGAAGGAGCAACCTCAAGAGGAAGTGAATTGCCTGTCCCCACAGCAGTTCTAGCTGAGGCTGCACTGACTATTATAGTTGGGATATGGTAGGACAGCGCTTTTTAACTTTACTGTATGTTGATATCACCTTGTTCAAATGTAGTGTGTGACACATATGGGGTGTGTCCTGAGACTATGAATTTCTATTCGGTGAAGCTCGTGCTGCTGGTCCACAGGCCAACTTTGGGGAGCAAGGTTGCAGGGGACCTCAATTACCCAACACAGAGGTTCTTTGGCTACAGTGTGCCAAGGCTGACCTGGGTCACACCTCATGAAAATAAAAGTCCTCATAAAAATAAAAACCCTTCCAAACTCTAGCTGGTGGCCTAATGACCTCAGGTTAGATGCAGAACAAAGAGAGAATGTGGACCATCTCTTGCCGCGATCTCCACAGCTCACAGAAGCCCTCAACATCTTTCAATCAACTTAATCCCAAAGTGGTAACTGGAATCGATCAGCTAACAAATCTTTGGCACAAGAGGTTTGGTGAGTCATATACAGTGACAAGGACCTGATACTTGACTATCCCTGTCTTTTATAAAGCATTTTCTTTTTAAAGCAGCTTTCGAAACACATATAGGTCCATTACCTCGCCTGACTCTTGTACTAACTCTTTGACTTGAGGAGGGCAGGAAAGAAACATTTAAGGCCCCGAGAAGCCTGAAGACTTGCACAAGGTGGCAAAGCCACGGAGCGCTAAGCCTCTCGGAGTCAGATCCCCATACGTCACTTCCCTCTTGAGTCACAATGGGAGAGCTGGTACACGATGATACCCAGCTTCTGCCTCTCCTGAAAACAAGCAGTGTAACTTCTCTTCTTCATCACTCTTTCATTATGTAAAAGGTACAGAGTGCATTAATACATATCGTCCAATCATTAACTCAAGGGTCCCCAGCGCTGGAAAGGATACTGATGGTCCAGGCTTCCTTGGTCTTATGGCCTACCCGAAGCAGAGGATAATCATCACAGCCTTCACATCTGGACAAACTTAACATCAACAAACTTAATTCATCCCTGAGAGGCAGGGAAGATGTGGTTCTTTACTTAACATTTGTGAAAAAATGAGGGAAAAGGCAAGATAAACATTTACCCTATTAGAGAGAAGGCAAGATAAACATTTATCCTATTAGCTGAGATTCAGTTTCTCCCTACTGGAAATGCTTTCCTTAGCTATAAATCAAACATCTCTATAACTGAAATATAAAACAGGTGTTTTTTTTGGGGGGAGGGTGGCATGGGGTGAGCCCTCAGTGGAGACAGAAACCGTTAATACCTATCACAGGAATTTGCCCATTGCTTCAAAGGTTGTTTACCCTCAAATTTTTGTTTTTCCTCTGGGCATATATTTTTTTCTTTCCCTGGCCCCATTTTCTAACCATATACAGCTTTATGTATCTCTTCCTCTGAACCTATGCTGTCCAATATGGTAGCCAGTAGCCACACTTCAGATGTGGTTAGTATGACATGTTTTGTAAGTGAAAATACACACTGGATTTCAAAAACGTAGTACAGAAGAAAGAATGTAAAGTATCTCATTAAAAATTCTTATATTGACTATATATTACAATGATACTACTTTGATATACTGGGTTAAATAACATATAGTAGTAAAATTAATTTTACCTGTTCCATTTTACTACCAGAAATTTTTAAATTACATATGTGGCTGCTGGACAGTATTGCTCTGAATCTTCCCTACGTTCCTCATTGTCTGCCCCTATTTAAGCCTAAAAGTAGATACAAGTTCTCACCAGGACCTCATCCAGGGTTAAGAATAAAGGGAGTATTATCTCATGCTAAGTACATTTCAAACTCTTGGAGATGCACTAAAATTTTTCATTGGCCCAAAACACACACAAGCGCGCGCGCACACACGCACACACGCGCACACACACACACACACACACACACACACACACACACACACACACACACACACACACACACAGCACTCCCCTCCCTTTCCCCCATCAGCAATATAGCAGGGGACAGTCACTGATCCAGAAACCGCTTTTCTTCCGTATCTGCAGACGTATACACAAGTCGCCCCTCTTGGCCTGGAGTGCTGGTTTCATTTTTCCCGAGTGAACAATCCTTCATGTGTCCTTGCTCTGTTGTTGCCCTTCCATCTTCAGTTCACAGAAGTCCCTCAGAAATCTGACCCTAGCCTCCTGGGGCTGTTAATCCCACTGGATCCACAGAGCACCTGGTGCTACTGTGGAGTTACTAAGCATCCTCTTCCAGCTTTGGGTGTGTGCCAAAGCCTTGAAGCCCAAAATAAATTGTCCACTGGCTAAAGAACAGCAGGAAGTCCTGGAGATGTGGACAGGACAGAGGAACTCAGCCTCAACGTGGCCCCAAACACTTCTAGAAATGTCACCAGTCTCTTCTGCTCTCCTAACCTGCCACAGTCCCTCAGCGATGGCATTCCTCTACTCATCTCATGCTCCATTCATTATCTTCCCATCTCTTCAGACCGCACCCTATCTTTCTGGTGACTCACACTGGCCTCCTGGGGGGACAATGGACTGGGGTGAGAAAATCTGGCTTCCAGGTCAGACTCTGACAGTAATTTATTGTCTTTTGAGCAAAATGCTTAACTTTTTTGGACTTCAAGTTCTTAGTAAAATAAGATTAGACATGATTTACATAAATGTCCTTTTGGCTCTAATGTTCCATGATCGGAGTATGCATACCCTATGAATTGAGAACTAGCACTGGGTAGGGTCGACCTGGCTGAAGGGAGACAGCACCCCACTCATTGGCTGCTGAAGACTGGGTGGAGGAGGGCTTTTGACGTCGTCTCCACATGTGGCGGCGAGAGCTCTGACAGTGTGGGAGGTGAGGGTTTGCCCCGGATAATGATAGATTTGCAGGTCCTGGAACACCGTGGGCAAACTCTGCCAGAGGAGTTGGAAGACATGAATGGTTCGGCTCCTGCATTTTGGCTCTAGGAAACATCCACAGGGTCCTCCATAAACAGTCTCTGACCCCGC